TAAGAAGATAAACCGCCAACCAATGAGCAGAAGTTGACCCTCTTAGACACACCCCCTCCTCATTTACATAATAAGGCAGAAATGAAAAAAAGGACAGGCAGAAATAAACAGCAATGAAGAAATGAATAGGGTAAAAATTAGAAAGGAAGAATAAACCAGACAAAATTATTATAACATGCACATAAATAAATACCTAAAAAAAAATAAGTAATTGATAAATAAATTGAAGATTATAATGGACAATAAATAAATAAGGTAATTATTACAAAGGCGAATAAATGAATAAGCTAATTAAGAGATTCATACATTTATGTCTCACTGTATAATTTCATTTCTACCTACATTTATTTGTTTATTGTATTTTTAGGGGCAGTAAAATTGTATGCTTATTTATTTCTTGAGCATTTATTTTTTTCTGTATTTATTTTTAAATGTGGCAGAGCTGGTCCTCCATACCTGAACGACTGAATGATGCCAATATGGCGGAGCGGTGCTTATAGAGTAGAGGATTGTGGTTCTTCTAACTTGGCTTCTTGCTTAATTGATCTGTGTGTTCAACCTCACACTAATCTTCCTTTCATATTTCAATAATATTTGGTGCTTCTGTCATTAAAATGTGAGAGTGGTGATATTAACGCTTTGACACTATTGTTGTTAATTGTTCATATATATTTGGACGTCAAGGGATAAGAAGTAGATAAAGTTGGGAGGTGCCCACTGGGTACCAGCTGCACCTCCCGCCACTGGGTGAAGAGGGTTTGTTTTTCAAAATGTTCAAATTAGCTAATATGAAAAATTGAATTAATTAAAAAATTAAAATGTGCAGTTTGTTTGATTTTAAGAGAAAGAGAGAGCGTATTTTAAGAGTCAAACCTTTACGAAAAGCTGGGTTAAACTGAATAAGGATGAGTATTTAACATTCACAATAAATATGAATTTAAGAAGAAACCAAATAAAGCAGAAATTTAAGCCCTGGAAACATTCCTACCGATTAGTATGTGAGTACACTGCTTCCAGAGTGGTCCTCATTCCCACACTGTTGGTTTTTGTAGGTGCAGCTTCTGCCGGAATGAAGGTTGCTTCAGCGAGGCTCCCATCGCCGAAGACCCTGGTCGGTTCCCCCACCCAGATCCTGGCCCAGTTCCCCAAACAGCAATCCCCCAAACAGCTGCAGCAGAGCTCGCCTTTAGGAGCCTCCGGTATCACTCAGAGCCAGGCCAACACCACCCCTCCATCAGGAGCCAAACCCACCATCCAGATCAAACAGGAATCTGGTGAGAGTTTTTTTTTTCTCTATTTGTTCCATCTTAAAGGGGTCATAGAATGCAAAGAGTTTCTATTGTCATAGATGAATAACGATAGTTCAGTGGGTGAAATGGACGTAGAGAGAAGTTCAAACCCCATCAACTCCTCCTTTCTCTGCAAATACTTTTTTGTTCTCCCAAATTAATTTTAGTTTAATTTTATTTATTTATGTATTATTTTTTTATGTCCTTGCCGGCACAGGGGTTTCTGGGGTTGGATGGGGTTTATATAAATATAAAAATGTTGAACTACTGTGTGGTTGTTGTTATACTGTACGGGGTCAAAAGAATTGTGACAACTGCAAAACACTACGATTTGAATGGCATTGTACATCTGTTTTAACAACAATGAAAATATGATTAAAGAAAAAAAAAGTTTGATGCTCAGCTGTTCATTTGCTCGAAGCATTTTACATAAGACAGCTTTTAAAATCCTGGAAAAGCAGGATTTGCTAAACTTCTTTTACTAAAATGAGGGGCTGTTCCCACCGGAAGGCCGTCACAACCGCAAACTGGAAGTATGATTCTGTCGCTAAGCTGTTGATAGCAATGTTAGCATATCTATGGTGGACCGCTGACTGGACCAGACCGGGCCCCAGCGGGAAGACGGAGCAACCGAACCTGACCTGTGACTATGCTTTTCCCCCTCTGCCTTTCCGTGCTTCCTGGGAAGCCTGGGTTCGGTCGCTCCGTCCTCTGCTGGCTGCGTTTCAACTACGTGCTGCACTGTAGTCGACCAAAAACTCAGACGATTTTGAAATCCCCCCCACCCCCATGGACATTTTTTTAGGTCTAAAAAGTAGGAAATGTCCGGTAAAAAGAGGACGTCTGGTCCCCCTACCATATCAACAATCTGATGTTTCAGTGAGTGAGTGCTTGTTGCTATGATGCATCTTTGCTCAGCAGCTTTGCTCGTTGTAAACCAACCAATCAGAGCACAGCTCATCTAAATATTCATGATCATTCCATAAAAGGAAGAAAACCTGTGGTTTCATTCTA